TTTGAAAAAAGTGTTACTAGCATTTTTTGTTGTTCTCTTCTTCAGGAGCCTACCTTCAAATTTTGTTGCAAGCATTCCCTAACACCCTGTATATTCAGGCACACCCCCAAGTGTAAAGATTCAGATTTTTTCCATAAGACGAAACATTTTCTATGAGGTTAAGACAAATATTGGTGGATTGAGAAATAAATCTAAGAAATAAATTCATAATGATGTTGTTAAGTGTAAAATACCTATGAAAAAAGATCTAAAGACTGTGATGCCAAAAGTTACTTTAATTCAAATAATAGTTTTCATCCATAGCAACATTTAGCCTCATAATTGCATGTTAGGTAACTTTCGGACTCGTGCGCTTCGTATATGTGAAAACAGGTAATTAACCCATCATTCCGGGCACAATTTTGTTTTTGGAACGAAGTACTAGATTAATAAATTTAAAATTGGAAACCCGAAATTTCAACACAAGCCAGTGAAATTCATGAGGTGTATTATTTCACGATATGGATTCGTAAAATTTAAGGCACAATCTCAACATTCAAATTGTAATTGATAGACTCCGGCTTTATCTAGTTAAGTAATTTTATCTTTGTTGTTCAGTAACTGATTTCTGGTTGAATTAATTTTTCTAAATGAAATATTAACATTTTTATTCACTCTATTTAGTATGTTTTTAATTTTGTAAGATAATGTTTCAATAAAATCCAGAAAATAATATCTACCTATGTCTTCCTTAGTATCATGGTCCGTTTTGAACAACGAGCAACATTGTTTTTTTTTTTAATTTTGTATCTTATTTTGTCAATTAGATTGTGGATTAATTTTACTTTAAAGTCATTATTTATTGCAATTTGTTTTATGGACTGAAGTTCTTTATTATAGTTTTCATGGTTTAGATTAGAATTGAACAATATTTCAATTAAAGATGCAAAAGTTGATATTTTATGAATTCATAGGTGGTTGGAAGAATTGCAAATAATGTTGTCGGTGTATGTTTTATTGGCCCAATATCTTACAAAATTAAAAACATTCTTGGAGAAATATTAAACACGAGAGGCCAAAAGTTGCTATAAACGAAGTCATTCTTTTCATCTTTAGTACACTTTGACCCCATATGGATTCATACAAAACAACTTTCAGGCTCACAGTCCAAGGAAACATTAAATTAGTAACCCTTGTTTTAAGAATACCAAATCGTCTTTCAAATATCGGCGGATTGAGAAATTAATAAATCAAAGGGACAGATTTATAATTATGTTGTTTACTGTGGAGTATCTACGAAAAAAATCCATAGACTGTGATTCCAAAAGTTAATTTAAGTCAAATAATAGTTTTTATCCATAGCAACATTTGGGTTCATAATTACTGCTCCATTAAAATATTAAACTGGTTTTTCAAATTTCGCTTGTTTCTTGGATAAAATAATATAAAATACGAGAGGCCAAAAATTGCTACAAATGTAATTAATGATTATAAAAGAGTATAAGTAATTATTTTCATCTTTAGTACACTTTTGTCACACAAATTCATACAAAACAACTTTCAGGTTCACAACTCAAGCTAAAGTTAAATTAATTGTCGTTGTTTTAAGATTATCAAATTGTGATTCAAATACCGGAAGAAAGAAAAACAAATCTAAGAGACAATTTCATGGTGATACTATTAACTGTAAAGTACCCATGAAAAAAATCTAAAGAATGCGATATCAAAAGTTACTTTATATCAAATAATACATTTCATGCATAGTAACATTTGATCTTATAATTACATGTTTCGGAATAATGAGCTTCATATCTATCATTTCAAGTACAATTTTTGTTTTTGGAAATGAAATTCCAAGTGATTAGAAAATAAAACAGAAGCTCAAAAATGTATGGAAACGATGCATGACGTTCCAAGATATTAATTCCTAAAATTTAAAGCACACCCTTAAGCAAATATCCAGATTGGCTCCATAAGTAGAAAAATAATTTAAGAGATTAACAAAAACTTGTACTGCTAATTGTAGAAGTGCCTGTACACACAACCATAAAAGTAAATTTCTTACTCCAACTTAAACTGGTATTTTAAAATTGACATGTACGCCTTTCTTGGAGAAATATAAAAAGAGAGGTTAAAAGCTGCTAAAAAATAGTAATGTTTCTTTTTTCGAAATCGCGCAGTAATGTGCTTTTTCTATGTTCAAAAATCGGCACAGAAATTAAATGCGGTGTTGTCATATTAGTATGATCTACCTCCACAATTACATTTTACAAGGTTATAAATTGTTTTTCGGTTTAGCAGTAATTCTATACTCTTTGTTAACCCTTTTTATTAGTTATTAGAAACACATCCGGTTTATTAATTTTATAAATATAATTTATTAACTAAATTTGCGCGTAATCTCGCAACGTCGCAACCTTGCATGGCAACAGCGGATTTCTTGAAGTGCAGCGACATTCTATGGCAGCGAACAATGTGTATCCACATAACCTGTAATAAGTTTTTGTTCGGTGCAGAAACAACCATGGAAAACATTATATGGAGAATATCTCATTTTGCATACGAGTATTTCGCTGAAAAAGAAAATTCTGTGAAATCAACATTTTGGGCTACATAGTCGTTGTTAAAGTCAACTCTGTTAATATAAAACAGCATAGATATAATCTAAGTACACCAAATTCTCAAGCAAAAAATATAGGTTATGTTTCCCAGAAATCAAATATATTTACAAGAGAAAACTTACGAAAATTTTTAACAGAGGCCCGTGATTAATGTACTGTAATAACCCAAACCTGCCGCCGAATTTTGCACATGCGCACTCTGAACACAAGAAAACCGCGCAAATTCAAATGAATAATTTGGCCAATGATCGTGAACGTCTAGCAAGGTTAGGACCTACGTTGTGTTACGTTAATATGGTGGCAGGCGGTTCAGATCTATAGCGAAGTGAGCAAACCAACGAGTGAGGGAAGAACACAGGTATAAAGACACATACATTTTTAACGGGAGGGCGCCTTTAATGTTTAATGATTATACAATAAACGAGTTAAACACATTGCAGTTTGCAATTACAATTATTTTGCGACACATTTCGTCTTGTTTACTAAATTTAATATCATTGTGTTTACAAATTGTTAAAAAAAAACAAGGTTCGGGTCCAAACCTCCCAGAAAGACACCGAACAGGCCCATTAAATTACATCTTTCTAACGATAAATTTTTCTTATAATTTTTGTACGCGGAACAATGACTCCCATTCGCACCTTCGCCGTGAAAAACAAAAAAAAAACGTAGCGCTTCGCCAGTGGAAGAACAGGAAGGTTATTTGACGTGCAAGGATATACAAGTGTCACATTCGAGAGAGAGATAGAGGGGGAGAGAGAGAGAGAGATAGATAGTTAGGGCCCGGGGGGGGAACGCCCCCCCGTCCAAAAGTTTCCTGTCCGGGCCCGCCGGCTTCGTGGCGCGATGTACCATTGACTACCGGCCGTTCCACGAGAAGCTGCTGTCCCCGAATACAACTGCCACCCCGTCTACAAGGTCCGATGGCCCCGCAGTAACCAGGTCGCTGCTCAGTAGTATCGTGTACCGTCCGACCAACGACGGGATTAAAGTCGGCGGTACATCACGCATCGATCACCCGCGGAACGGAAAAGAAAAAGGAACCGGACCTATCAATCATGCCTTGTACTAACGTGAAAAGAAGAGAAGTCAACTACAAAAGACACATAAAAAAAAAACACCCGCGTTCAGGGCAGACGATAAACACACAAATTTAAAAATAATGGGTGGGGGATTTCCCCTGGGGTGCTTCCCCTATTGCCGTTTTGGCTTTTTGGCGAGTACATATTGGAAATTCAGCTGTAGGAACTAATAGTCACGTGCGCATACATTAATTATTAGGTACATTTACACACACAAAAAAAAAACAAGGAAGAGAGAGAACGAAAAAATGAGAGAGAGGGGGAGAGAAAGCTCTGCGCCACGAGTCGTAGTTGAGTGCGAGCAAATCAGATTACGAACAGAGGAGTCACCATTTTCACAGGTTCTAGTTTACGTGTTACGACAATACTTCAATAAATAATGAAGCAAATAACAAAACGTCACCATCGCGTCGGTCGCCATTTTGTTCTACGTGAAGCGTCACATGTTATCTCTTTCTAAATAATGCAAATAACAAAGATAGACAAACGCCACCATCGCGTCGGTCGCGATTTTAGCTTGTGCGCAGCGTCACTCGGTTTCTCTTTCTAGCTAACAAAATAACAAAGACAGCAAAACGCCGGCGTCGCGTCGGTCGCCATTTTTACTTTTCGTGAAGCGTCACAGACTGTCTCTTTCTAACTAACGCAACTAACAATTCCCCAATTACCCGGTATCCACCACCTAGCTACGCTAACCCAAAACAAAATAATGCTATTTACCCACGTTCTATGTCCGTCTTAAAATTAACCCTTCCATTCCTAGTCCACTTTGATACAACTTTCCGACACCTGACCGCGCGAACAACGAATTTATTATTATTATACCAACACCGCTTCCGCATGCATGCATACTTCTTACAATAATTCGCCTCTAACATCATATGTGATAATCGAGCCTACCAATAAGCCACCGAGTTGAGAAAGGGTTAATCCAATCGGCGTCCTTTCAGCTTCGGCACTTAAGTCGCTGTCGCCGTGCGGGCGTCGCACTAAATTTCACCTCACTGGGTAGGAAATAGTTTATTGGTACACCGCATCCGTCACAAAAGTCTTGAAGAGTCGGTCGTTTCCTATTTCCAGACGAAAAACTCCAGAAAAACACAAAGATTGACACCAGTAATTTGTTCGATCTTGCACCCTTGAAGGTAGTACTCTGACTGACTTCTCTCCCTTCCTTTTCGCCTCGTATCTCCGCATCCCCCGGTACGTCTCGTACCACCCAACAGATGGCGTACTAAGTATCGTTCTGGGATAAATTCGGATGTTGCTTTGGCGCTGGTCTTGTTCCGATTTAAATTTAAAGCGGGATATTACAGTACCTAATGTCAAAGGTAATCTCAAAGAAGGTCAATAACATTGTCTATAAAACATAATGTTTTAGGTATATTTTTTATTCGAAGTTGTAGGAGTATGCGGAATGGAAGAATTTGAACAATTTTCTTGTATCTACATAACCTATAATAAGCTTTTATTATTATTACAGAACAGATTATTAGCTTACATGCCCATTTTAAATGAAAGTATGAAGCATACCTCTTATTTTTCGGCACTTTTAATAATATTTTTGCTTGCAGAAAGATCTGCAGCAATTGCAAAATAGAGATGGATAGCTATAATAACAAGAAGTTTACATGCATTCGACCGAACTTGCAAAAACTGGCAGATAATATATCAAATTTATTAACCAGAAACTCAGCCACAGTTTATGAAAAGCGGTATGAAAAATTTTTTTTTGGCGCAGAAACAACCATGCAAAATATATGGAGAACACCTCATTGCATACAAGTATTTCGCTGAAAAAGCAAATTCTGTGAAATCTTTAACACTTTGGGCTGCATAGTCGTAGTTAAAGTCAACTCTGTTAATAAAAAACAGCATAGATATATCCAAGTACACCAAGTTTTCAAGCAAAAAATATAGGTTACATTGCCAAGAAATCAAATATATTTACAAGAGAAGACTTACCAAAATTTTTAACAGAAGCCCGTGATTAAATGTACCTGATGTTAAAGGTGATCTCAAACAAGGTCAATCACATTGTCTATAAATCATTATGTTTTAGGTTTATTTTTTATTAGAAGTTGTAGGAGCATGTGGAATGGATAAATTGAAAAATAATGACGGCATTCAAGACAAAAACGATACGCTAATAATTAAAATTCCAACGTCTAAAACTGGCAAAGCACGAGAATTTACAAATATGTGTAAAAATATTTATCCAATTGAAATATAGTAAAAATACCTAATTTTAAGACTGCACCATACACCAGACAAATCATTATTTATACATTACATTTGGATAGTGAATGCAGCAGCTGCTGCATTGTACAAATATACCTGCAAACACACTGTAACAAATTATGCAGACACCTCTTTTGACTAAAAGATATATATTTAACTTTATCCATACGTTGTCAACTTTGTTAATAATTGCAATCTCTAACTTCATAAGAAATATGAATAATCTACTTTGGTGTTTTATAGTAGTATTAAATGTTCATAGAATATAATTGCACTTACTACGAAGTAAGCTTTCCTAGTTTTAAGTTGTTTTCTTTTCTCTTTGATTATCTTAATTTCTTCAGCCTCTATGTGGCTGTTTTAATTCCAAAAAATTATTTCTGAATAAACTGGTTCATACCACTTTTTCTTTCTTTTACTCGAAAACAGTTTAAACTATAACTCCAAATATTTACCTACTTTAAAACGTGTCAAGCATTCGCTTGTTGTAAATGATGCAACCATAAATACAAATTTGAACACTGATATGACAGGTTTGAGGCTAGGATGTGGTTTTCATATTCTCCCATTACTTGTTGCCTAAATCTGGCGCGAGGCCAAAAGTTATTATTGACGTATATATATATATATATACCTATACACGGTGACTGCGAAATATATGCAATAATTTTAGCCACGGCATCCCCCACCTTAGTAGTGTCGAAATTTAGAAAAAATAAATTTGAAATCGAATGGGGCAAAACCACCATGAACCAGCCTAGATACGAAGGCACTGAGTCACCTTGTAAACAGAGTTGGAAAAACGTTCGAATAAAAAGGACGTTAATACTTTCAGTTTCAATTAAAAGTAAAACTGACTTTTTGCTGCTTATCATTCATTCATGGATTCATTCATCGGTAAAGGTCAGTGCGAAAGTTTTTTGGTAATGCCCAGTAAACACAGTTACGTCGTAGCGATGTTAATGCCATCTAACTCTGTCTGCGATCTTGTTAGCTGTTACATCCCAAACTGCGTACATTTGCTTTTCCTGTGCTATGTAATGTAATCAACAGTGACCCATGCTTGTAACATACTGGTGACATCCACATTGTTTCAGACTAGAGTAGTGCTCGCTGGTACATAATCATAACGTTGTGTTAGTATGTCGCTATATTATCTATATTTTGATGTATCTGTTACGTTTTATTTTAAACGCCAATATAACGCATTAAATGGACATAGACGTTACGTATATATCGCAACATCGTAAACATATGACTCTCAGTATATTTTATTAACATGATCCATGCGATATGAATAGGCATTTCAGAAAGTCTAGTTACCATTTAGGGATATGGATATGGAGACTAAAATTTAGAGCTTACAGTAAATTATTATTTTATTCAATGTTTGAAAAAATATAATATGTAATAAGTAATAAAATACAAAAATTAATATAAATTCATAATATAAATAAATAAATAAATATATATATATATATATATATATATATATATATTAATCAGATATCTAGTAACTACAATTAACATTATTTATTGGTTACATAACCGTAGTACTCCACTGTGATGTTACAAGGCTTACCTGCCAACTATATCGATGCGACACAATAATGAGATATCTAGTAAATGCAGTTAACACTAGGTGTTAGTTACATAACAGGAGTGCCACAGTGTGATGTTTAAATGCTTATATGCAAGCTATATCGCTGCGACATAATAATGAGATATCTAGTAAATGTAGTCAACATTACGTGTTTGTTACATAGCATCCCAGTTAACACAAAATTATTATATGATTATTCAACGAATATGCGTTCGGGTTATTTGAATATTCCTCAGTGTACCATGTATTATGTTTTAATATTCATAGAATATTCTGAGGAGCACAAAATGTCCCCAATGTAACATTCTGGCAATAACCACAGTATCATCGACGGAATATTCTACATATTTTCTTATCTGAGCCTGAGAATATTTGAGTTTAAACTGGGAATATGAATAGAATATTCTAATTATATACACTACCTATACACATATATGTGAAAAATTTTAGGAATGTCATCCTGACATTTGAATAAGAAGAAAAGTTCGTATAACATAAATCCAAAAATTGTGCAGTTCTAAAGTTGCTGGATAATTAACAAATTATCAATTTTTTACTGTAAACTTTAAAATTAAGTAATTTTGGAATTTTATTAAACAAACTTTCCTTCTTATTGCAATGCCAGGAATAGACTTCTAAAATTGTCCGTGTAAATAATATAAATAATTCTGTACATACCTAAGTATATTTTATAATAATGAATTAGCTGATTTGTTGCCGTCACGTGCCATAGATTGTGAATTAAAAGTTATTAACTAAATAAGGATTTGAATACTAGGTGTACTTGTAGTGAAATGTTAAATTGTGTGTCTGTGTGCCCCAGCCCAGGTAGGAAACCTTTTATTATGGGTCGCGTAATATGATTTGGTGGGTGTTTCTTTACGCAATAAGAGAAACTACATCGCTTCATTCATTTTTTTAATATATCAAAAATATATTTGTGCATACAATTTTTTAACATTCAACAAATGTAGTGTGAAATCTAGGTGTTATGTTTTCCTCTACTAATATTACAATTATTAAAACGTATGAAACTTAGTAACTAGTTTTCATCACTTGGTAAATAAAATTTAAAAATTCAAACGTAAAGAAAATGTTGGTAACATGAGTATTATTAATATAAATCTTTAACAAAAGGTACCTTAATTAATTCATCTTTGGTTCCTTGTTAGTTTTAATGCGGTCTCTTGCCTTTGCTAACCATTTAGAAGCAGCCAACTCAATGTCCTTTTCGGTCCACGAATTTCTTGTGAACTTTTTCACAGCAGCTACACAGCATTAACTAAATATAGTAGTCAAAATATTTATTTTTTTATATTTACCTTTAAGTACGCCTGCAATTTTTAAGTTGCTAAAGGGTTTTTTTCCTTTGTGCCCTACCCAACTGTAGAGTATAGCGAACTTGTTGCTTATTAGTCGCGAAAGGGCCCTGCGGATAAATTCCGGAGCATTGCGTCCACCTACCGCGGACAAGAAGGATGTCTGTAATTAGCCAAATACACTGACGTCATCCGAGGTCATCAAGATGGCAGCGTTTGACAACTAGCCGGTTTTCTCATAAGAGTCAATGCTAATATTTTCGGAATTCATTTAAATTTGAGAGTGTGTCAACTGTATATTTATAGTTTGGTAAGTTTGTTACAGTTTCTAGCGTGTGTAGATATCTGTAAAACGCACCATAACGTTTGAATATCCTTAAAAAATAATGTTTTCCAATGTGATGTACAGGTTAACTTCGCTGCATCTTATATTATTTGTTTTGCTAATTAATTCTGTGTTAATGTACATCAATGTTTTTTAAATACACTAGCATCTTAATATCATAATATTTTGTATTTTAGGAGAAAATGCCTAAATTTTGTGCTGTTGTGGGTTGCGCGAATCGAAGCACCAGAAATACGGACAAATTTTATTTTCCTTTCCCAGCAATTAGCAACAATAAAGGTAAATATGTACAGGATGGGGAAAAAAGGCGGAAGCTTTGGTTAAAAGCCTTGAAACGAGTGGATTTAACGAAGCCAAAGTAAAGTATTCCTATATTTGTTCGGATCATTTTATTTTAGGTACAGTAACTACCTATTAGATTTACAGTTTCTAATAAATTACTACATTGATGCTCTTTTAGATAAACCTGCAGATTTGTCGGATGTGGACCAGCCTGATTATGTTCCATCACAAAATTTAGGATATCAAAATAAATTCACTCATAATACTTGTAATGTTGAAAGACACAGTCGTTTAAAAAAGAGAAAACTGAATAAATGCTTCTAGACTTTTGAATGCACGAATTTCATTGTGGGTTATTTTACTTATTCCAAAAATAAAAAAGTTTAGAATGGTATTCATTGTTATGGTAGGGACATCGTCTAAACACAAATTAAAATCACTTGCACTCATTATATAAGGATCTACGCCGTTTAAATTATCTATACTTTAAAAACAAATCACACATCTTCACTTAAACCCGTCACATTAACCTCAAACGAAAATATTAATTTCCGATTTACCGCTTAAAACACACGGATGTATTTTGGGTGACGAGGAATTCAGACCAAAACAGCGTTATGTATTTTTATTTTTATTATGTATTTTTAAACTCAAATCGCCAAAATAAAGCACCCTGATACACAGAAAAGATATGAAAGAAGCTATTCACGTGTTTATTTTCTAGATAAATACCCACACTTTTAAATAAAATGCGAAAATGTTAGCATTGTCACTTATGGAGTTTCACGGCGCTTGTCAAACGCTGTGTTCCCGCCACAGCGTGACGTCACGTGTTATTGGCTAATTATGAAATATATATAAAAGCACAAGAATCTATACTTTAAAATAGTACTCGTACCACTTTTTCCCTATTTTCTTCATTTTCACTTATGAAATCCTCTATTACTTGTAATGATTCTTCATCACACACAGGAAAACGTGTAACTAGATCTAAATTATTTTGTTCCAAGTCAACATTTTTAATTTCGTTGGCGTCATCAATTTTTTGCATCTTGTCGAGAATGAGTTGCATTAGATCGTTCTGATCCCTTTGCCTAGTTTGTATTGTAATCAAATAACGTAAGACTTGTTTCTGGAACTCATAGTTGCCTAAAATTAAGATTTAATAAAATTTAATGTTACAGAAATAATTATGTTTTACCCTCTACATTTTTTTGAGCATAGGACACAGTAGAAGCTGTTGACTGAAATGATCCTGAAGTAGAAGCTGCTGTTATTGGATTATCAGGTGCAAGAGTGATGGTTGTGCATTCAGAAATGGTTTTTAATTGCGAATCTGCACACACCTTCGGTTGAGACACAACCGTCACGGGGGGAAGTTCGGATACATCGTAAACTTCTTGTTCACAGTTACTTTCACTACTTGAAGAGTATTTCCTACGAGGTATTCTTTTTCGCTTTGTTGGTAAATGATCTTCCTTTTCAAAATCAGATTCTTCAACAGCTTTTGTTGCTGCATTATTTGCAGTTTGAAATTTTGTAAACAATTTTTTACAAATAAGTTTTATTGAATATTTGGCCCATTCTTTTTCAGGTTGAGCTTAATTTTTTAAGGCCAATTGCAACTCGGCTTTAGCGAATGATGGATAATTGGGCCATAAGCATTGTTCAAAATTTAAAAGCCAGTTGCTTGGCACCGCTTCTATAGCATTTTCGTCTAAAAATTTCACTATATACCACCCGCCGTTGTTACACTCATTCATTTCTTGTAATTATGTAGGTTTAATATATATTTTTGATAATATAACCTTTAATAAAACAAAAACATAGGTATTTAATAAAAATTTTAGATATGTAAAAATGGTAAAACAACAAAATTATTTTTGTAAGGTAAACATATCAATTTTGAAGTAATTTTGTTTAATTCCCAATATGACAATTCTCTACTACTTTTTCTAACTATGCATATATCGAGTAAACTTGAACTGCAAGGTTTTTGGTACAAATCTCCGACTACTTCGTAGGTTGCTCCTATAGCTACAACTGTATCACTGATCACGCAATGTGCAAAATTTATTATCTCAACTATACTACCATCTTGCATTTTACAAAATCGGTTTGCTCGAGAAAGGTTAAATTTGAAATTGGGAAATACAGCTTCAGAAAACTGAGGATTACCACAATTTTCGATCAAAATCCCCCCGATATGCTCGCGTCTTACTCTAATATTACGGTTTGAATCTTCTGTAAAACTTTTCTCATTGTCAGCGTCCATCTCAATAATTCTACGAACGATTTGAGGCAATATATTGTCAGATTTTCGAATTAAGTTCTTCAGTATTTGTAAATAATTTTCACTAGAAAAGTTACTAAATTTATCAAGAATTCCAAACCGCCTTACATCATCTGTAATATGCAGTAAATTATGTACATTATGAGACAAAAATTGCGGTCCATATATAATTTTACAAGTAGATACAAAATGTTTTAAAAGCAATTCTGCATAATCAATAAATTTCTTTATATGTTCTTCCGATAATAAAACTCTGATAGTAACGTCCAAAGTAAGAAAATGTTCAAATTTTTGATGATGAAGACAATTTTCTAAAGCAATTGGACCAGTATAAAGTAGAAATTGTCTAAATTCTGTAGCTTTCCAACGTTTGCATTCTTTCAATGAGCGCGGTTTTCTGACAAACTCAGAAGGTGTTTTTAGCGATAATAAATTTTTAGAAAGTAATTCAAGAGTTCTTGCGAAAAATTTATGAGGTGGATGTCCAAAACACCATGTAGATACAAGAAGTTTTTTTACTACTCCCAAACAAATGAGGTGCATATAATCCAATGGAATATCTGTGACCAGTTTTACGTTAGGAATTTTAACTAAAGCAGTGACGCCTCTGTGATATTCTTCATCTGACTGATCTAAAAAATCTTGATCAGTACGTTTTCGAAAAGCCAGTTCTGGGAAACATATAGTTTCTTTTATTCTTATGCCCACTTTGTACAAGACGAATACCCTGAGTGGCCTTTAACGTATAAAACACTAGCTTTAGCTACTGCATCAAAAAGACATTTTTCTATTTTAAAAATAGAAACTTTGTTAAAAATTTGAATTCCATTTGTTGATAAATAAATGGCTTCTTGAACAAATTTTGCCAAAAAATCATTAAAATTTTGAGGCTTTTCGTAACCATGATAAATTCCTATCACAAAAATATAAAATGTAATATTAAAAGAATTTAAAATGCCAAGAATTGGGTAGAGCTGACTTCCAGATGATTTGCTAACTGGAAGTCCATCTATATTTACTGATAAAGTGATCAAATCTGGAATCATTTCAACAGGTTTATTTTTAAATGCACGATTTATACCATTCTCAATCCCAAGGTGGCAATAATAACCTGGAGTAACTGTTTCTAGAAACACCTTGCGAGGAGTTTTTAGTAGAGTTCTAGGATCGTTTGGTAAATTTTTAAGTTCATCAGGATAAGCGTTTCTTAAAATATGTAACAGTGTTTTTATAGCTAAGTGAGAAATGTTATGTTGCAAAGACCAATGATGCAATTTTTTTTTAAATATTAACAATGAATCTTTATCATTATTTATTGGTCCAGGTTCAAAATTATTACTGAGTAAAACTGAATTTATATCACCAATTTGCTCATCCCTATATTTTGTGAAATCGAAATTTACTAAATTCATCGAAAATGTATTTTGATCAACAAACGTGAAATCAGACGCAAAATCTTGTACTGCAATGCAGTTGTCATTTTCAAAATTTTCGTTACTAACAATATTAGAATTATGAGAGAAACAAGAAGATTTAACATTATTTTTTGGCGAGATTGCAGAGAGACCAGTGTGAGCTTGAAGAAGACTAATTGTATCTTTTGTCTTGTTTTGAATTATTCTATTTAGATGACGCCGTGTTGACGCCATTTTTCTGGCAGCGAATCGGATTTTCTTTTTTTCCATACCTAACAATTATTTAAACAACATTAATGTAATAAGTAAGCATCCATAAGAAAAGTTGTTACGTTTACTCTTAATCTTAAGTTAAATAAGGCAAAAGTGAGTAGACTTACCTTTTAATTTGAGAGGATTTTCTTCGATATATTCAACAACACGTTTCGTCTCGGCGACGGACGAAAATGGCTGCTATTGCGAACATATGATGCGCAACTTGCCGCACACCGCCACACAAACATTACGGCGCAAACGCGAAAAGGTTGCAGTTTAAAATGTGCTTCCATTATTATTCCCTGCTTATTACTAGAATATTCACGTAGTAGCAAATAAGTATGCATTTTATGTCACATTCAAGGAATATTCGTAGAATAATAAGAACAAACATTAAGTTTAAAGAATATTATATGATTATTAAACTGAAAATATTCTGTGAACATATATTTTAGAATATGCCTAAGTTATTACTTTTGGATCTTAGGTTATTGATATATCTAGAGAATATCTTGGTATTATTATAATATTCGGAATATTTCTGGAGTGTTGAGAGAATATTACTTAAATGTCTTGTGCTAATTGGGATGAGTACTCCATTGTGATGTTATATAGCTTACGTTCCAGGTATATCGTTAAGACATAATCATGCGACGTACTTATTGTTCTTTTGTGAGTACGTACCTGTCACGTCAACATCACAACTGTGTTTACTGGGTGCTTCATGATGACCGACTTTTGATTCTGACGGATATTTGCTCCTTGCCATAACGATCTTACATTCTTTATTGGAACAAAAATAAGAGTAACTTAGAATGCTACTACCTTTTTACAAGAAATGTTGAAAATGTTACATTACCATTACCATTATTTTCGTATAACAATTTATATTTAACTAGCTGACCCCGTGAACTTCGTTTCACCTACAATTTAATTTTGAATCTGCAAAATCGAATGCTTTGAAATCTTGCAGATCTTTTAAACATATGATAAGCATAATAAATTTGTATTCAAAATATATCTACTTATCCCCTCCAAAAAATTGATGACGTCAGTCCAAAATTTTGCCAAATGAATCCTATCTAAAATGTCCAAAATAGGATGAGACTATACTTGTGATTTATCATTCCATTCATACTTTTTAGTTTTGCTTATAGGGGGTGTCTCAAAAAAATTAATCACTGAGTCAATTTATTTTATTGATTGAATCAAGAATTGCAAAACTGAATTTTGAAATATTGCAGACGTTTTGAAGTTACTGTTTGACATGGTAGGTTTTCAATCAAAATATACAAGGTGATTACGAAATATATGCAAAAAAAAAATGGGGAATAGCTCACAATATGATTATGTCACTGGGTAAAATTCACGGTCCTAAGTAGTAGCAGTGTCTAGAAAAAAATATTTGAAATTAAATGTAAATTGTTGTACGCGCCGCTGGACTGTTTTGTGACCTACATAATTACTACAATGAATGGAACAGAGCGAGTCGGATTAAGAACCAAAAAAGTTACTTTATCAGGCACTTTTTTAATCGCAACGTGAAAAACACGAAAAGGGCCAGTTAGCATCGAGCGGTCGGTGAAATCGGTTTATGGTGGAGTTCTCCCATGCAGATTGTGTCGATATGGTAATTGGTGTGGGCGAACATTTGCATCAGTGGTACAGCAACTGCGAGATCATGGTACCTTCAACTTCAAACTCACGATCGTGGCCGTGATAGGACAGAAAGAAGAAGTTGGATTTTCACAGCTTGTAGTGCATCCTACATTAAAAGAATTCGGCCACATCCATACCATGTTGACAAAGTAAAGGGTTTGGAGCTCACTGATTGTCCACGTTGTGTAACACTTTTTGTCCGATCAAACTCCACATGTTCGTCAACAAGTACGATTGCAAGAGACGGTTTTCGATAAATGTGTATCGGTTGGATGAAACAGTTCGTTTGTGGAAATCAACAGTGTCCAGAAATTATCGAAGAGCTTCAACGAGTGAAAGTGGTTTTTACCTATCAACAAACCTCTTGCGACGCTCTGACGCCTGTATTGCTAGTCAAGGACAACATTTTCAACATTTCTTGTAAAAAGGTAGTAGCATTCTAAGTTGCTCTTATTTCTGTTCCAATAAACAATGTAAAATCGTTGTGACAAGGACCAAACATCCGTTAGAATCAAAATTACCAAAAAACTTTCACACTGACCTTTAACGATGAATGAGTAAATGAACGAACGAATGATAAGCAGCAAAAAGTCGGTTTTACTTTTAATTGAAACTGAAAGTGTTTAGGTCGTTTTTATTCGAACGTTTTTCCAACTCTGTTTACAAGGTGGCTCAGTGCCTTCGTATCGAGGGTGGTTCATGGGGGTTTTGCCCCATTCGATTTTTAATTTGTTTTTTCTATATTTCGGCTCTACGAGGGTGGGGGATGCCGTGGTTAAAATATTTGCACTTATTTCGCAGTCACCCTGTATCTGTTTATCAAGCCCAAAAACTTGAAGACGTCATCTCAAGATTTTGCCGAATAAATCCTATCCAAAATGTGGAAAACACCATCAGTATATTTTCGTAATTTATCATTGCATTCATATTTTTAGATTTGCTTTTACAGTGACTCAAAAAAATATATGGATCAGTCAATTTATTTTCGTGAATAACTCAAGAGTTGCAAAAATGAATACTTTGAGATCTTGCAGACTTTTTAAAGTTATTGTAAAGCATGGTAAATTGTTAAGAATATTTATTTATTCCCCCCAAAAAATTGATGGAATGGCTCACTCGATTTTCGCAGATAATTTTGGGAATACAATACAGTTATTTTTAGTATTACACTGCACCAATCCAAGGTGGTATACGTGTTGATAGTAAATGTTGATTAGGTCATCACAAAATTGTGTGAAGAACAGACTCAACTTGAAAATGTTGAATAGGTTTCATTATACTTTTGGTGCGAAGGAAGTTCTGTCGAAACAACGTTCGATCAATTTTTTGACAATATTTTTAGTTTTTCTAGATGATATTAATACTTCAGTAGGTAACAGTTGATGCTCAAGTAGCATCTCGATACAACAAAAAAGGACAACAGTGACAGTGTTCAACCATCAAGGCAAAAATCGAGTCACCAAAATATAAGTTAACATGGGGTAGACACCTTGAGATGAGAATCTCTATGGCCAGTGTTAGAAAAAACGCAGTGCACAATTTATGCATAAATAAAATGAAAAGTTTTCGATATTCCTGCTCCTAATGTGTTTTTCAAACTGAATGCACCTTTTGACGACGTTCCACGTTTATGAAAGTCACCATGTTTAGTTAAAATTCACTCTTACAACGATCCTACTGGTTTTCTAAGCTGCTTTACAGACAGCTCAGTTATTTGCCACGCCGATGCTCATTTCTAGATTAAATGCTCACAAAACGCGTAGATGTTCAGTTTGTGTCCGGGGAGATACAATGTTTCCAAGTAGGTACTCAGTACATAGAGTAGATGCTCAGGTATATAAGAGTAATAATGAAGTAGGTACTTCGTACTTCGAATATGAGTATCTACTCAGTTTTATTCATACCACTTAATGTCTCGCTTTAATGTTTGATTATGTTGATTATAAGTACAACGCTGATCAACTTCCATATTCGAATTACCTATGAAATAAATCATTGCGGTTTGCACCTGAGGTAGTTCGTCGCACATTTGATTGACTTCGTGGACCTATGTCAGCTTGTCGTCTTCTCGGCATTTTAATGAACTTCATAAAACGACAGAATTATTTTCACAGTCAATCAAATCTGTAAATTTTGTCTTGAGAATTTTAAAATATTGAAAACTTCAAATTAAATCCTCGAATAACGGTAAAGTTTGAGGTTTTGTCGAAACCAACAAAGTGAATATACAGTTTCCGACAAAAAATTTCAAACATCACTTTTCTGTCATGTCAAAAATTTTAATATAGTCTATGCTTTATTGTCATTATTTCGGACAGCTGGAATGTCAAACTTTCAAAATACCTAAACATCTAAAGGTTGCTTTACACTATCTGACGACTGAATGACATTGACGTCTGAAATTTTTTGGCGGCAACTGTAGGTAAAAAGAATGGCAGATCAAAATGAATAAGAAACTTTCGCAATGTGTAATTAAATTCACTTTAACCAAGACTTTTCTTAAAATAAACGACGCTTTTTTTACGAAAAAACAAAGAACGATTTGAAATGCAATATACTTTTCACAATCGCACGGAAGAATTAGTTTTGTATGACACATCAGTTAGACGACAGATCCGTCAGAAACGCTATTGAAATTAATTCGAAGTGGCGATTCCCATACAAAATTTTTAGAATTTTTTTATTTTTTAACTGTTCTTTTAAGTTATCCTTATTTTTTGTTATTTATAAACCATCCCCGTAATATAAAAAAAAAAATTAAATCGGTCAAGCCGTTTTTGAGTCTTAGCGAGACCAACAGGAACAACAATTGATTTTTACTTTACAGACGATTAAAAATTGGGGGTTGGTGGTAGAAAGGTGAAAATTTAGGGTTAGGTGTATTTTTTGATGTCAAATCTTAAAAAAATAAAAATAAAAAATTTTGGCCAAAAAATAGACAAACATTTTTTAGGGTGGGCCATCCTTATCACTTAGGGGTTTAAAAAATAGTTTACAACTTATTGTCAGACCTACCGAATATACATAAAAAATTTCATACAAATCGGTCAAGCCATTTCGGAGAAGTTCGGTTACAAACACTGTGACGCGAGAATTTTATACAGGGTCATTATAAAATATTGTAGTCAACTCACCTATGAAAAACAATTGACATTTTTCTCGTGCCGCTAATCACCAAAATGATTTCAACTGTTTTGAAATGTCACGAACGTCGAAACAAATCTATCAAATGTGTCAAAAATTGAAATGCCAGGTTTGCGGTTTAATTTCATTTTAAATATACACGAAAATACGCCAGGCCAGAGCATTAAGGGTTGCAGTGTTATCGAGCATTTGTGAACGCCACTGCAATACATTTCAGCTTCAAAAATTGTAAATTGTCAGAAAAACGTTTAAGAGCTTTGTCATGAATTACACCTTGGAAAGTCGATTGGAGTTGAACAGAATAAATCATCTGGTCTGTTTTGCAAAGAAGCAATAATTTTTCAAATAATGAAATCCAAAAAGTGAGGTTAAATTTGTCGAAACCAATGAACACGGTAATTAATTAAAAAAATTACATTTTTATAGG